AGAGCCCTAGTTTGACAGTGCCACCCGTAGTAGTCGCTACTAACTGGGTAAACAAAACATGTGGCTTTTCTTTCTTGTTTATTTCTATCCATTCATCAAAGTAGATTGAATTCATAACAAAATCCGAGACCAAAATGCCCGTAAGGTCGTTAGTTTGACTCCCAGAAGATCCATGGGATATTCAGCCAAAATGGTCTTGGCATCCATGATAATAATAATAACAATAACCCATAGTGGTCTTGGTTTGCCTTTTCTAGTGGCTGGGGCTGAAAAGGAAAATCTAATTTGCAATGGCTAGGTCGAGAGAACTGTCCCTAAAAGAACTACGCAGTCTAATTTTATGTGTAAATTTTATTTGCAAGTTTAACCTTGAATTTACTGGACCCGTGTGCACGCTAGATGTCTCGAATCTACATTTACAGAATTCTTAATTGAAGTCAGTTATGAATTGATTTTATGTAAAAAAAAAAATAGTAGTAGTACTAATAATAATAATAATAATAACAGTAACAATTACAATAATAAGAATAAATGAAAGAATTTGCAAAGGGACTACCTGAAGCAGCAGCCCCACAGACCACTCCCCAGACAAGGGGAGGCCAGGTAACAGGCTTTGTTAGCTGAACACGAATCTTCCATTTGTCCTGTAAAGAAGCCACCACTTATGAAAAGTCATACTATTTCATGAATTGAAACCGCAAGTCTAGAGAGAAGTGAGAGTTATTTTAGAGAGAAAAAGTAAAGTGTATAAATGCATTTTGATTAGAAGATGTTAACCCCTTTCCACAATCCGAATAGGGGTATTTATACTAAGAGGGAAACCCCTAAGCTATCTAGATGTGTGCCACGTGTCTTTCTGATCAGCTTGGGCAATCAGTCACATTAATATCAACTCAAGGCATACATGTGTCCCTGTTTGGGATCGTCCTTACGTATGTGCGGGGTGAGAGTGTGAGACGACATCAGCGTCTAAGTTCTGTTAGTTCTGCTGATTTCTTAAGCAGTTTACAGAGGTCGAGGCCAATTTGCTGGGTCACACGCTCAGCCTTCAGTACACAGACTCTGCTTTTGGACCCCTCACTCTGTGTGATTCTGTTGGGGCTGGGATCTAAAGCAATACACTCTTATCACTATTAACCTTCTAGTTTGCTATTGAACTTTCCCCCCTTGCAACTACTAACCCACCCCTGCTAATGAAGTAAAAATGGGGTCAGGGTGTAAAGGGGTAAATGAGATGAGGGTTGTCATTTCATAATTAGAAGTTGCCTAAAAGGAATGTGAGAACTTAATTAAGAACTTGAGGGAGTATCTATTATATCTAAATGCTAAAATGGCCAAAGATAATGGTAAATATTGAAAAGTACTATTTCTAACTTCATACCATGAAATGATGCTTCTAATAAGGAAAACATCAAAGATCTAAAGCTCATGGGCCATTGGCAAAGATATTAACATGGCAGTGCATTGTTGTTAAAAATGTCCTAGGCGGCAGGTTAGGTGCTAGCTATCCTTACGCCAAAAGTGGAATGTTAAATATCGCCTTCTTTTTGGGCGCCTTTAACTGGTATTTTATTGGTGATTACTACACTTTCAAAATATTCTATGGATATACTAGACATAAGTTACAATTATATACTGCAGAATATCTATTTTTAAAAATTAGTAATTTTAAGGGCAGGGCGTCTAAGGCTCTAAGCACTGGCTAGGAACCCTGAGTTGGACATTCATGAACTGCTTTACTACGAACATTATGAAGCACTAGGTAGGTTCTTTCTTGCAAAGGACCTCGATGATCAATTAAGTAATTTCATCATACAAACTTGACCAAGTAACCAATCCACAACTACTTGTGAATGCAATCTTTGCACTTTATAATGGCACACACGAACACATGTTATGAGTAGGGTTTCTCCAAAAAGATACAAACAGCTATATCATGCATCATAGGGACCGCTATGGATTGGAAGACTCTAATATCATATTTATACTTGAGATTTCATCCTACAAGGCCAACTATATACAAGAAGTAGTTCGATTTAATATATAATGATTTCTTATTTCATAACTAACTAATGTGTGACAAGTTCTTGGATAGTTATCTCTTTCCAAACCTAATGCTAGAATAGTTTTACAAAATGTGTCTTCATGATGACCAAAAAAATAGGCAATCTTTTTATGTCCAGCCCAGCAATGTGGGCTTAAGCACAAGTCAAAGTAAACTATCTTGATTTGTGATATGAAACACAATGCAATTGGTAGTATATCACACAGAAAAACCCAAGAAATTCGTAAATGGAGAAACGATTAACTAAGAAAAAAATGGGCAGCCCACCTTTTCTTGCTTCGCACCTTTGATACCAAGAATTTGATTAATGCCGGAATTATTAGCAGGAGGTGCCTTATCAGGTACATTAGGTTTAACTGCCGGGCAATTGTACCCAAAAAAAACATTAGAATTGGAATGAATGGACAAAAAGGGAGATTCCAAATCCAAAGCTCGTGTTTTTACCTTCACTCTCAGTCTCAGCTGCTCTTACCAAAAGCCTCTTCCCTTGGGCAACAAAAACACATTCTAATTAATGCAAAAAAACAGTGATTAATGAAGTGTTCAATGAATGTGGGAGAGTTGAAGCTACATACTTGAAGAAAACCGAGAGATTTGAGATGAAAGGTGCGGAGTTAGGACTGGGTAAGATTTGATATTAGAGAATGCCATCGGCGGACAGGTGTTGAGCAGATAAGCCATTGAAGTTCAGCTAGCTGGACTTAGCTCTGTCTCGATAGCTGATACGGGCTCGCCCTCTCCCTTGACCGCCAGGGTATCAGTGTAATATCACTCCGGACACTTCAAGACCTTGAAGCTGTTTTACTCTCTGTTTCTCTGAACGAGTAGATTTGTAGGAACTGGGAAATTGGAATATCGGTAACCGGTAATTCTATAATTTCTCCTGTAATTCTATAATTTCTCCAGTAATTCTATCATTTCTCCGAATTTGTTACTAGTAAAGTTTTACTTGCATTATTAAATTAAATTAGGGGAAAATACCTCAAATTTTAATGGGATGTGATATAAGTACCTCAAATAATTTGAATGTGTAATATATTTACCCGAATCTTATATAAAAAGTTATTTTTTCATCATGATTGTATGCGAATTTGACTTTGCACCCCACTTAAAAAATTTCTTCACAAAATGTTGTTGTTGGGGGGCAAAATCAAAGTTTTTTTTTAGAATGGGATGCAAAGCCCAATATCACCCAAATAGTGAGGTGCAAAGTCAAATTTTTCCTTTATTGTATTGATTGTAATAACTACATAGTTGTCAAGTATCTTGTGGTCTGATGGCATCACTGTGACACATCTAAAGAGGGGGTAACATGTTCGAATCTCGTCCCAGTTCAAGGATGTTGGCCTTAACAGAACAGATACTATAACAGATTAGAAAGAATAGCACAAAAACTACATAATTTAAAATACTTTAAGTCTTGTTAGAATGCAATTAACATTCTAAAATTTCTTTCCATGAAATAAATAATATTATATCCGATACGATTTAATTTTAATTGTATCCTCATAAATATTTTGTGTATTCTAAATTATTATGTGCTTAATACCATAAAATTTACATTTGTGAAAAATATATGATCTGTGGTGTCAATATAATTTTGACTAATGCTAAAGGTACTCCAATATGAGGTACGTCATTCTTACCTTGCCACAAATGGGCAACACATTTAAGCGATGTCTTACTTAAATATGTTGTCCCATTTGTGGCCACACATTAAGCTGGAGTAAGAATGAGGTACCCCATTTTGGAGTACCTATAACATTTCTCTATAATATTTTATATAAAGTTTGGAATTTATATATTTTATTTTCAAATTTATGATAGTTATCCCTTAATTTTTTTGGTCTGATCTGGTGTGATTTGATAATATCTGATCTCTATATAATTTATAATTGTTCAAGTCTGATCTGGTTTGATTTGGTTTGCTCTGGAATGAAAACACTCCAATTAAAAATAGGAAAAATTGATAGTAATAATCCCAACTATTGGCGGTCCGCTCATAATAATCTCAACTATTGATTATTACAGAATAATCCCAACTTTGGGGACCTTCCGCCAATAATGGTCCCAATGAATAAATTCTTGTAGTTTCTAAAGTGGATGAGATGAGATATAACAAGTAATCCCTATAAATAATCTCAACTTTTAATTTTTACTCTTAATTTCTATTTAAAATTCACTTTTTATAGAGGTAATATATGGTCATGGATCATTATTGGCGGATAGTCTATATAGTTGGGATTATACAAAAATAATCAATAGTTGGGATTATTTTCAGCGGATTGGCAATAGTTGAGATTATTATTTTCAATTATTCCTTAAAAATATCCTTAATACTTTGAGCTACTAGTTATGGAGTATACTTTATTGGTAATTTATATCCTACAATAGATTGTACTATGAGTGTGGTATAATTAGGAATTTTTGTAATATATTGGAATTTTAAGCTTGAGTATGCTACCCACTTTTTTGCTTCTATTTGCTTTTCATTTTTTCTTAGCAAAGTGTTTCATTAATTTTAACTTATAAAAATGTGTTCTTATAACTTAAGGTCGCAACTTGCTTCTTTTTTTATTCATTTTTTGTAATCAACATTCTTTTATAACTTAAATATTTCTTTAAAGTGTGCATTATGAAAATTTTAGGTATCAACTTTTTTCTATTTTTAAGTTTAAGATGAATATTTATTAATAATAAATTTGTGTGTTAATTACATTAATATTGTGTGTTAATTATTAACACGAATGTTGTGATATACTAAAATGAGTACAATGTTTAAAATAAATGTGAATGAATAAACATTATAAAATATTATGATTAATTTTGTAATTTGATAAATTATAAATTATTTGGAAACTAAAATTTATTATATTTCTCACTGTTTATACGGAGTAATGTTTATTCATTCACACCCCAGCTCGAGTCGGTAGTTTCCGCACCGAATTTGAGCTCTGCTCCTGAGTACAAAAAGCCCTTCTTTCCTCTTTTGCCTGAAGCCATCCAATCATCCATTAACAAAAGATTCTGCCTTACCCAAAAGTTGATGAACATCCATCTTCTTCCCATTCCAAATCCTTCGACTCCTTTCACGCCCAAATACTCCTACACACCCAAGCAACCTTCTGCAACTCCCCGTTCCTCTTCACCTGGAAAAGCCGCTGCACCCATTCAAGAAATGAGCTAGCCGGCAACCCCACAGACGACCGAGCTCTGGCCACCGAACACTGAACAAACAGGTATAACAACGATTCATCGCCGCTACCACATAATCCACACTTCACCGGGCAGTCCACCTTCCACCTTCTTAAATGACCGTTGTTGCTAAAAGAAAGATTTGATTTTTGGGGTAGATGCCAATCCCACATCACAGTCAACTCTTCCAGTCCGGAGCCTGAAATTCACCTGTAATTTCTCGGTAGCAACTCCGAACTGAAAATCTGCCTCCCAATTCCAACCTCCAAATCAGACTGTCAGGTACCACTCTTCTACTCACTGGGATACTTGGAATAAGCTTAGTATCTGTACTATTGAATAGATCGTGTAAACTATCAGTATCCCAAGCCTGATTCGGTTCACACAACTACCCATTGACCAAGGAATTTTCTGGACCAGTGACCCGAACAGTAGTCATATCACTGTCTGGTAAGAATGGGTCCTTCCGAGTTTTAATGGACTTACGGTCACCTACCCTCCAAATGTATCCTTCCTTTATGATTTTCTGAGTCTCAAACAGGCTCCTCCACACGAAGGACGTGTTACTTCCCAGTTGAGCTGAAAGAAAATACCCTCTGGGTAATATCTGGTTTTGAAAACCCTCCCCACCAAGGTCTCTGGCTCCGTAAATACCCTCCGTTAATCATGTGATGCGAAAATGCACTGAAAATTCTTGGCACTAGAGGTTTTGGCATGGTTGCCCCCCTTCTCATTTTCAAACCAGACAAATTTCAAGTCCCACTAAGACCAAGTCTCCCAGGCCTTCGTTTGATTTTCATAGTGAGCAAGCTCTAATTTGTTTAGGCCCATTGTAGTTAAGACTCAAGAAAGATTAGAGATGTAGCCTGAAATGTTCCATATTTAACTGCTCCATCAACATTCTAGGGGCAAGGATAGGTACAGCCCTCAGGTTTGGATTCAAACCTTCATGTTCAGCAAAACCTTTTGAATTTTCTACAGTACAACAGGCTGGCGCAAGATGGTCCCTGAAATACTTTATCTCAAAAAGTTATTCTTCTACATAAGCAAATGGTTATGTTTGCTGGATACAAGTTGGATACGTGATACGAAGTATTAGTTTAAGATTTAGTCTTTTTTTTTTTTTAAGATTTAGTCTATTGGTGTAGTACTAGTACTTTTAATTTATTTGTTTATTTCAGCGATGAACTGTAGCTGGCCGCATTTTCAGCTCCTTACTATCCAACCTTTTACGTCTGGATGCAACCCCCACGCTCTTAGCTCACTTGATGCTTTTAAGGTTTGTAAACATTAGCTTGCATTTTTCTAGCTATTTGTAATCATTTTGACCTTATATACGCCAAGGTAAATGTCTTCAAATATTGAAGTTTTCTGTATTTTATTATTGATAGAGCATTGGTTATACAAGAAGTACAGCCATATCTTTATAGAAAGCTAGTTCTAAGGGAAGAGATGCCTAGGAAGTGTCGGTTTAGAACCTAGGTGGCCGTCTAGATACTGAACAAAAATAAACATAAACTGAACAGACACATACGATAGTATTAAATTATTAATTATTACAACCTGAACAGACACTAAAGAGTCATAGTCACAGAAATAATAAAGTAATTCCTAGATTAATGACGTCTCTTCAATTTGTCAATGGATACATCAACAGATATTCTCATTATAATTAATTAAAAAAACCAACTTTAGAAGCTATAAAGTGAAGGCAAGAAGAAAGAAGAAATATATTCATGCATGTTGTTAACCATCCTCTGCTATGCATAGCGATCAAATTGTTAACCTAAACGGGGCTTAAACTATATAAACATAAATCTTCCCTTGCTGGAGGGAAAACAAAGCAAAATTCTACCCTTGATTTTCCGCTGCCAACAAGAGATGGTATATAAGATCCAATCTATGGTGACATTTTCTCCATCTCCAACAAAAAGTCCGGTTTTAAAAAAAGTGCGCCAATAAAAGACAATATTTTAGATTAAAAGGAGTTATTTTTTTGAGCTTTTTTTTTTGTACAAATGCTGCTTGGAACAAGTTATGATGAATGAACAAATCCAGTTTAACCAACAAATCAATCATCATTTACCCCAGTGACGCAAGCTCCCACCTACGATGGGGTAAGGGGGGGTCGGATGTACGCAGTCTTACCCCTGTACTAAAGCACAAAGATACTAAAGCACAAAGAGACTGTTTCCGGATGACCCATAATGAAAATCGCGTCCAAAATTGCATGTACTGACTGCTGCTTCATAACAAAGAAGCGCAGACAGTTTGGTGAGTCATTTTGCTTTATTCCATCATATTCTCAAGCCAAAAAATAATGAATCTTTGGCTCCATTGCAAATGATGGAAATCAGTTTAACCAACAAATGAATTAGAAAAAAACAAGTAGAGTTAATGGCTAGTAAATGGGGCTGTGTTAGCGATAGTTATGAATTAAAAAAGACCAAGTACAGTTATGCATTTTTGAAAGGCATGCGTTACACATAAATATATGCAACCAAAAAAGAGTCAATATCTAGTTTGGTCTGCATTACATATAAATTTAAGAGAGTCAAATGGCACCTCTAGTATATGTTATTCAAAGGTTCAAATGGAACTATGCCTGCCAAATTGAGTGAACTAAGAGCCTCTTTGGACAATGTATGGCATAAGTGCTTTCTCATGATCTTAAAGTGCTCTGCTAGTTTGCTGATTAAGCATTTGCTACTTTCTCAAATAAGCATTAAAAGTGCTTCTTAATGTTAAAGGCTCTTGTTCCATTTCATGCAAAACATTTCTTTAATAAAAACAAAAGTAAGTTTATTCCTCTTATAGTACACTTGCTTACTCCTTGAAATCAAGTCATTCAAACTCACCCCAAACAGCACTAACACATCTGGTAATTTCTTTCAGGGAAGTAGCAGCTGTATACTGATAGTGAAATTGCCAAGGCGATCAAGGAACTTGCTTCAACTCCAAAGCATAAGATGTGGCGACCCCCATCCACAAAATGCAGATTTTCCACGTTACTATTCAAGAAAGGAGAGGAAGCCGTTTCCTGTACCAATTGTAGAGCTAAGGAGAGCTGCCAGGGAGAGACAGAAGAACAGGTTAACCCAATCAAGGGGACATTTGCCTCCACCAAAAGTTGGGTTGGTCATTAAAGGACTGATTCCACTTGCATATAGAGTGATGAATGCACGAATAACATTGATAAATAATCTCAAGCGGCTCTTGAAGGTGGTGCCTGTTCATGCTTGCAAGTAAAGTCTCTACCTCATCACTCTGCAGAAACTAGGGAATTGAATTTTGATAACAGTCCTGTTTTGGTAAATAAAATAAGAGCTTCCAATATGCTTTTATGTGAAAAGTTACCTCCTATGAAGCACGGAAACTCTCCGCGACTCACGTTTCCCCGTTTTGGAAACTCGGAAGCGTGTCAGAAACTCGGAAACTCCAAATTCCCATTTTGGGGCCGTTTCCGTAATTAAGAAGAATTGGGAAACCCGTGTCCCTAAATAATTAGTGTCTTTTAAAAAAATACTCCGTAGGGTTTTTTGTGTTATTTCTTCATAGCAACATTGTGGCATTTCAAAACGCAATGCATTGCTACAAATGAATTACATTCTAAATTATACGGAGTAATATGTGATTATTTCTAAACTTAAACATGTAGAATGTTATATTATCGGACTATTAAGGAAGTTATATGAAAATATAATGTGCATATATATATAAATGAAAAAAATTGTGTACATATGTGAAAAACTATTTACAAATATATCCTTATATTTTTAATATTTACGCGTTCCCCCCACGTTTCGTATCCTAAATTTTCTAGAAATAACGTTTCTCGTGTTTCCCGTTTCCCGTTTCCGTGCTACCTAGGTTACCTCCTATAGATTTTCAGAAATAAGCTATTACCTTTTTGTTTACCCAACAACATGACAGCGCACTTTACCAAACATTCGTCACCCCAAATACAACTTCTTTTCAAACATCAAATACGACTAGTTTTCAGCTAGGTACTGACTCATAAGATTTCAGCAAGCTTTTCAGCTTAGCCTCCCAAAATGAGCTTATCTTAATTTTTTGTCATTTGAAAGTCATCTTTTTATTCACCAACTAAAAGAAATAACCATGGCGATATGACGATATCTCTATAAAATTATATATACTATATCCAATGAAATTGCACACACTCAGGTACATTGTGTTACATTTTATCATACTTGACTACCAATATGCATCTTCTATGCTGTCCAGCCTGAATATCTCATCTTTCCTTCCGTGTACCTCTAAGCTTATGTTTGGTTGTGGAATTCCATAGGGTAGGAATGGTATATTTATCTCGTCTTTGAGCTGACACCAAACTCTTTTTGGACTACGGCTTGGATGTTGTTGTATTTATTTCTTCTTAAGTTTTAGATCAACTAAAAAGAGTGAAGATGAAAATTATTTAACTGAAAGTATATATGGAGTACTGCATAATCGTAATTTCTGCTCTAGGGAGATGGACAAATTGAGATAAACTGGTAAATGAAAATTCATTCCTCCCCTCCCTCTGAAATCCCCCAAACAATGCCCCTATAGGGCTCGAGCTTTATTTGACTTAGTAGCTTATATTGGGAATTCCTTTGTCACAGGTGGTGTAATGAGATTCACGTTGGACCCGTTGGGCATCCTTTCAAGTCGTGTAGGGGCCCAGACGTTTCGATCCGCAAAGGACTTCACGAGTGGGGAGAGGCATTTGTTGAAGATGTCATGGTACAACTTGAATCTTACCACCTCTATGACCGTTTGGGGAAACGGATTTGTCATGAGGAGAGGTTTTCAATCCCTCGAATCCCAGCAGTGGTTGAGCTCTGCATCCAAGCCGGGGTCGATTTACCGGAGTACCCCACCAAACGAAGGAGAAAACCAATAATCCGCATCGGAAAGAGAGAGTTTATTGATGCAGATGAAACGGATTTACCAGACCCTATACCGGAACCTTCAAAGCCATTGATATTCAATGAGGTTTCTGATGCCGATGTATCACCTCCGTATGGGAAGGATGAGACAATTCTTTTGGCTGAAGAAACGGTCCAAGCGTGGGAAACCATGAGAGGAGGAGCGAGGAGGTTAATGATGATGTATCCAGTGAGAGTTTGCGGTTACTGTCCGGAGGTACATGTTGGGCATAGCGGACACAAAGCACAGAATTGCGGGGCCCATAAGCACCAGCAACGCAATGGGCAGCATGGATGGCAGGCTGCCGTACTGGACGACTTGATCCCTCCTAGGTATGTTTGGCATGTCCCTGATCTGAATGAGGAAATGAAGAGGGAACTGAGGAGTTTCTATGGTCAAGCTCCGGCAGTGGTGGAGATTTGTGTACAGGCAGGTGGGGCCGTGCCTGAACGGTACAAGTCAACAATGAGGTTGGATGTGGGGATTCCTAATGATGTTGCAGAGGCTGAAATGGTTGTTTGAACAACTTCGTCATGTGTTATATTGTGTTTGTGCTCTCTTTTTGTAGACATAAGTAGTCAGGTGTAAAGAAAAAATACTCGTCTCAATTGTAAAAAAACTTATGGAAAACAGAAATTGAAAGCTCCCGAGAGTTGAAGACTAATGTTAATGGATTAGTTATTTTTGGAAATTACATTTCTGGCTCTTGGAGGTTGTATGAAGTGCCAAGCAGCTAAAAGGTGATATTGGCTGTTAATGGATTAGTTATTTTTGAACATTACATTTCTGGCTCTTGGAGGTTGTATGAAGTGCCAAGCAGCTAAAAGGTGATATTGGCACCACTCTGGCAAATATCCACCATTTTAGCCAAATCGACCATTGTACCAATATTGATAGTGCATTATAAAGTAATACGAAGTATGATAGAGTTAATTTTATAGTGATAGGAACCATGTAGTTTAGAAACCCTTTTTGTCCATAACCTTTTTATTATTAATATTTAGGCTAAAGGGTCAAATAGGTACATGAACTAACTTAAATTGTTCAATTAGCCCCTTATATACGAGGTTCTGCCTGGCCGTCGCCAATTGGGGCGGTTCCCGGTGGAATTGTTTGATGAAATTTTTTGAGAATCTTCTTCATTAAGTCTAGTTTACTCATACCAAATTTCAGCTAAAAATTCAACCAGAAAGGCAGTCAAATGATTTTTTGAAGATAACTGCGCAGTTAAACAGTGCAACACATTTCGGAAAATCATTTGACTGCCTTCCTGATATTATTTTTAGCTGAAATTTGGTATGGGTAAACTAGACTTAATGATGAAGATGCTCAAAATATTTCATCAAAACATTCCACCGGGAACCGCCCCAATTGGCGACGACCAGGCTGAACCTCCTATATAAGAGGCTAATTGAACACTTTAAGTTAGTTCATGTACCTATTTGACCCTTTAGCCTAATATTTAATGAAAAACCTATAAAAACAATTTCATATTTTCTAAAACTACATAATAATTTTCTGAAAAGTGTAACAGACGTGGATTATATATTTATAGTGAGATTTTAATGTCATATCTCTCCCCAACGACTTCTTTCATCATACAGTGATGAAAACAAACAATTAGGTTCATCATTTTGAATTTTACTTTATCTGTTTAAACATCAAAACTTTACACCTCAGATGATTATATACAAACTTTAGGTGAGTAATTGTTTCAGATGTAAATAAATTTATGTAAACAATCATTTTGGATGTAAGTAAAATACACACAACCAGTGGCGTATCTTGGAATTATCATGTGGGCAGAATTACATTACATATTATCTCATGCATGTCACAAACAATTAAATGCACTAATAAAAATATTATAAAACTAGTTATAAATGACAAATTTTTCAGTCAAGCAAACATGAAATCGTACTTAACATATTAGTATATGTCATAAAGATTTTAATTTTTCTATATTATATTAATGGGAAATTTACTAGAATATGAGTATATGACTAAAACTCAAGGAGTTTCCCAATCTATTACCTAACTAGTTTTGAGCCTTTTCTATGACCGAAAATCCAAAAATTAAAAGAAATCTCGTTTGTATTTACAGGTTGAATGACAAAAATACCCTTATTTAAAATATGTATATTTTGCACTAATTTCGTCCAATTAAAATTGATGCACTATATATTGATGTTACTGCACGACTTTAATGCACTACTTTACTGCACATCCGGTAATAATCAATGCCCCACCGTCAAAATTAATTACCTTCTCATTTACTTGAGGAACTTTTTTAATTTTTATTTTTTGTTTTTCTGATTTCATAATTTTATTATTTCACGTCGAATTAAGTATATTGCATTGCATTTCTTAATGATATTACTGTTTTGTGTTACTGCAATACTGGTCTAAGCACTGCACAACAAATTTTTTTAATGCTTTCATTCACTGTCATGCACAACATATCTATTACTACGTATCATATATATTCACTACTCATACTCAACACTTATTGAAATATTCACTGCCAATATTTAATGCACATACTAAACATTATCTATTCGTGTTCAATATTAATGTTAATGTCCAAAAACCCTAATGTAAAAAAAACGAAAATGATGAAGAATGAAATTAGATCTAAATTGATAATTGCCTACAATACTTGATTTTGAAAGCAAATTGCACACTACTGTACCCCGTAATAATAGGGCACCATTAGATGACAACTATCAAAACTGTCAAACTACTTCAAGAAGTATCCCAATTGCGTTCACCAACCACTACCGCAAGAGACAATCAACCTTATCCACATATCATTTGCGTGCACCAAGACTCCTCCACCGAAACTCTCTCCAACCCTTTCCGCGGCTTCGTCACATAGAACGACCTGAGGGGGCAGAAGGAGGCCGTGCGGTGGTTGGAGGCTGTGCAACAATGGGAAGCAGTGGCTGGAAGGCGGGCATCAAATCGACGTCGGGCGGCGGCGCGGCGCTTTGGGACGCAAGTATGGTGGAGAACTGGCCCAACAAGCATATGTGCTCCCAACCTCCTAGATCCGATTTATGTGGAAGGCGGCAACGCTGGACGACGGGTGGCGGCGGCCCGGCGGCCCGGCTGGATGGAGGGGCGGATGGACGGAGGGGTGGCTGGGTGTGGGGAGGTTGTAGCTAGGGTTGTAAAAAATGGGTAGGAGGTTAGGGTTTTATAGGTGTAAACTAAAGGGTATATTTGTCTACCTAAAGATTATGAATTTTAGTATTATTTTGATAAAAGAACTAGTTAGGTCATAGATTGAGAAAGTGAAGAAATTTTAGTCATATCTAGGGTAATTATCTCTATATTAATAAATAAATTACATGACTCAAATAAGGGTCACATAGTATATGTATTTAGCATAGCATTAATATAAATTGTGAATGCAGATTTGTGTCTAAAAATCAATTTATATTAAGTGTGAAAATGGAATGGGGTAGTTTAGGTCTTTCAAACTAAACAAAATTTCAATAAAATTATGTAAAGCCACTTTAAATTTGATTGAAACTCTGAAAAGAGAAAACATGGAAGAAAACAGATACACAAATGGAAGAGAAGTTGGAGGCAAGTTTTGAACTACTCATACAAGTAAATTAGATCAAATATTTCAATGTAAATGAAAATTTTTAAAGCGTTTGATTGATGTCAAACAAAATTGTTACATAAAACAATAATTTCACCATCTTTCGAGGTAATTCCTAAACTTATAGAAAATCATTATTTCAGTCCAAAAGGTGGATCAACCACTCCAGAGTCCAGACACCTCTATTCCTAACCCGACAGAATGATGGAGGAGTAAGTTGATTTCAAAAACGATTTGTGAATTAAGTTGTCCAGGGGCTCATGCCCATAAAAGGCCACAATATGATGAAATTCCCACCCCAACCTTTTTCAAAATTGAACCTAAAACTTCAATTCAATAAAATTACGACTTTACTTCTTTTGAAGAGTTGAATTTAATACTCGTGGCTTTCATACTCCGTATTATAATGAGACTTCACTTGGGTTGTCAGCTTTTTTGTTTGTTGCCTTGGTGGGTCACTTGTCGAGTGGCAATGCAATCGAAGAATGGATAAGCGGCGAAAAGTTTAGCTAAAAACAGCTGTGAAAGTCTGCAAATCTTCAAAAATTTATGAATGATTCGTTTGATAATACTCCGTAATATTGATTTAATGCGGGAACTTCTGTTACTCACGCCCTATAAATTCATCAGCTCTTTACCTTAATCGCCTCTCACTCTCTCTCCATATATACATCAATGCTTACATGTATATGTCTGCTATTCAGTAGGGTTTATACATAGATAGAACATACGTATAATACAAGTATATACATATATAGATTTCTATATATTCAGGTGCAGTTGTTTTCTACATACTCTGTTTAGGCTGTCATATACTGAGTTGAAGACTAGACTGGGGCAGAGAGATGGATGCATACGCTATGCATCTGGCCATGGCCGCACTGGTCGGCGCGTCGGTGGTGGCAGTATCGGCTTACTATATGCACCGGAAAACCCTAAATCAACTATTGGAGTTCGCCAAAACTATGGAGAGGGACAGGGAGGACGCCGCTGCGGAAGGTGCAGACTCGCCGCGATTCGTGAAGCAGTACAGCTCGTTGGAGAAGCGGCGGAACCATGCCAGACGGAGAGGGAATGTATATTACAGCCGCGAGTCCGTGGCCGCGTCCCTGCCCGACGTCACGGTGATTGCTGGCTCTGGCGGCTGCGAAGTGGATGATATGAAGAACGGCCCGCTTCATGTTGATTCTATACCTGTTGGCTTGCCGCGGCTTCACACTCTCCCTGAAGGTATGCAAATGTGTCCTGTCTGAATAGTAGCTTCTTCACCTGGTTTATGAATTGAGTGTACTTGTTGTGTTTGTGGAGGATGTATGGAATGTGGTCACACAGGAATCATATCATATGTATTGGTGGACATTTTCTTTGATTGAGCACCTGGTTAAGCTGTAGAAAATTTTCTTCATCATGGAAAAGTATATGTTACTGGGAATTAACCTATACCCGCAGAAAGACAATTTGCTCAGTCTAATTAGTTTGTCTAGACAACATCTTTCTTTATAATGTTGTCTAATGATTGTGAATTGTGAACCAAAGTATGATTGATAAAGAAAAGAGTGGAACTTTTGATAAATTATTTCATTTCCACTTCTACCCATAAGGGTCTAATTTTTTATATCCAACTGGTGATATATCTAGATGTATAAGTAAATGTAATAATTGTATCATGATCTTCAACTGGAGATATATCTAGGTCATATTTATAAGCACATGATCATTCTGTCACAATCATCATTCTTAGTTTGTTTTTAAGACCTGCCTTGTTCATTTAATTCTCCTTCATACCGTTCTTGATTTAGGTAATTAACCCCTTTAAAGTATGGGAAAACAATATGGTTTGTGACTGAGCTATATTCATTTCCTATTTTATATGATTTATGAAGCATGCCTTATTAATGGAGATATCGTACTTTGAGCAACCAATGGATAAGTGACACGTTTGATTGGGTATGACGGGTAAAACATTGAATATCGTGTTCTATGTGCTCTCTGTTACGTGTTCCACTTGTCATTTAGTACTTTTTTCATTGTTTATGAGCTCCCATTTGTTAAAAAGTAGCTGAGACATTGGAATGGCAAAAGATATCCAGAAAGTGTGAATTGAGCCGAAGTGGC